TATATATATGTAATCTGCTGAAAAGTTAAAGGTTTATAAAGCATATTCATTAAACTTATACTGCAAAAGCATCTAACAAATTGCTAGATATCAGCAATCAGTGTCCCCCAACCCCTAGTTTTACTAACTCCTACTCATCCTTCAAAACTCAGCTCAAAAGTTGCCTCCTCAGAAAACTGTTGCTTGTCTCTCCCAGTCCAAGTTAAGGGCTTCTCTTCTTTACCACTTTTATTGGAGAACATATCACACCATATTAGTCTGACTTCTTCACTAGATTGTGAGCTTCTCAAGGACAGGGACTATGTCCTTTTTTCCCTATATGTCCAACTCCTAGTTCATGCCTATTACATAAAGGCATACAACAAATGCTTGTTGAGTGAATGAATGAAAAAATAATTAAACAAATACATCTTTCCCGAGTTCCTATTTGTCTGTTCTATACAAGAAACTTTGGAGGACACAATAGAATGAAACTTTCCTGTCATCAAGAAACTTAATCTTTTTTGGAAAATATGGTTTAATAGTATGATACAATTAGAGAATAAAAGAATCTCATTTCAACTAAAAAAAAGACCTCAGAAAAACAAGAGAGTAATTCCCACTACAGGCCACAGGGAGGCTCTGCAGAGGTGGTGGTAGGATGATTTTGCCCTCCAAAGGACATATAGCAATGTGTGGAGAGTGTTTTTATTGTCATGATTCACAGATTGCTAGTAGCATCTAGTGGGTAGAGGCTAAGGATGCTTCTAAACATCTTAGAGTGCACAGGACAGCTACCCTCCACCTGCCTTACAATAAAGAATTATTCAATCCAAAATGTCAACAGCGCTGAGATTGAGACATTTGAGTTAGAAGCATTTGGAAAGGCAAAGGTCGGAGTTGCAGCTGTCAGTGAGCACTCAGAACTACAATTGCTAGATTTTTGCTAACTGACTTTACTATTCATGATTAAATATGCCACTAGCACTAATACTAACAATTTGCTATAATAACAGCAGAAATAATTCTCATTTATTGGGCATCTTCTGTATGGGCCACTTTACATACATTATCATAGTTTATTTTCACAGTAATTCCTTGCAGCTGATCTTAATATCCTCGCTTTACAGATCAGTGAATGTAGTAAGCTTTAAAAAGCTTAAGTGACCAAGTCACCAAACCAAAGTGTGGCACAGCCAAAGTTTGAACTGAGACCTGTTTACCTTTAAAGGTTTCACTTTTTCCATTACCTACCCACTTTGTTTCTGCATACTTTTGAAAAAAGGAAGGATGAAATGAAAGAATTGCCTGGATAATTTAAGTTCAATTATTCAGACAATTGCCACAATGTTTTCCTTTATTTTGCATATATAGACACCACCTATGTGATTATATCAGATTTTAAAAATCTAAGTTGCTTTAATAAAATGACTGTTATTTGGTATCCATTTCAAATTGCAATAGGTTTATTACAACAAAACGCTTGTATAGTTTTGTTAAGTTAGCTGACAGAGAAACAAGCATTATTTCCTTGGGCCAAAATTTTGCTTTGCTTGTATACTCTACTGGTGCTAGAGCTGTGTCCTTATTATTTGTTGTTTATTCTGCTCTACACTGAGCAACGTGGTGAAGAAGGGGAAGCTAACTTTGATTACATTTTAATTAAGAATTACGTGTTTTGTTTTTTTTTTTTTTCTGTATTGGACTTCATGCTTGGGCATAGAAAGAATCATTTTCCCTCTAGCCAGCAGGCCACCTGTGACTGCCAACCTTTCATTGGACTTGTAGATTTTGGCAAAGTGAACCTGCCGAGAAATGGAACAGTGCTTCCCATGAAGCAGATCCAGTGAACTATAGTCCAAAGTCTACAAAGTCAGACTTTCTTGCTCCTGCTTCACCATTACACTTTCTGTGCCTTCTGTCTGCCATTACACCTTTGTCTAAGGATAACTTTAGACAAGTCACTTAACTCCTCTGAGCCTCAGCTTTTAATCTGTGGAGATAAGAATCATAACTACATTTTTGTAAGAGACAGGTCTGGCGTGCACTGGGACAATCATAGCCACTGCAACCTTGACCTCGTGGGCTCAAACGATCCACCTCAGCCTCCCAAGTAGCTAGAATTTTAGGTGCGCACCACCATGCCCGGCTAATTTTTTATTGTTTTGTACAGATGGAGTCTTGCTGTGTTGCCCAGAATCTGGTCTTGAACTCCTGACCTCAAGCAGTCCTCCTGCCTCAACCTCCCAATATGCTTTTTACAGGCAGGAGCCACCAAGCCTAGGGAGTTCATCCCATAGTTAAGAGGGCAGATACTGGAGCCAGAAGGATCTACATTTAAATAATAGATCCATTGCTATTAGTTGTGTCACCTAGGGCCAGTTATTTAAATTTTTGGGGCCTGCATTTTCTCATCTAAAAAGTGGGGATAATGATAATATAAAAACCTCAGGAACAGTATCGGGCACATCATAGGTGCTCAATAAGTGGTAGTTATTATTACATGAGTATAAAGCCTTAATAAGATAATACAGTGGGTCAAGCTTTGAAATAAGTCATCACTGGGTCTCAGTCATATACTAGCTGTATGTCTTTAGTCAAGTCACTTAACATGTCTGAACATCAGTTTCTTTATCTGGAAGATGGAGATAATAATAGTACCTATATAATAGGGGTTATGTGAGGACTAAATTAGTTAAAGTATATAAGACACCTAGCACAATAAACAGTAGTATAAAATTATTATGCTATTTTTACAGAGTGAGAGTGATCATAATTTTCAGCATACAAATGGGGGTATGGGTTTTACAGTGGGACAGAATGATTGAAGCCAGGAATAATCCCAGATGTATGATCACTGTACAGAAGCCATCAAGTGTCTTGTACTCAAGGGCATCATTGGAGCTTGGGGAAAGAGTAGAGGAGCCTGTGCTGAGAGACTGAGAGGTAAAAGAGGGGAAAAAGGGAAACAGGGAGGTAGAAAAGTGGCCAACATCCCATAGTAGAGTGGACCTCATAAGCATGATGAAGAATAGATGGCACCCCCTACTAAACCATCCTCACCTTCAGTGTCAGTGATCTGGTTACTAAGAGGTGGGCAGACCAGACCACAGAGCTATTCATCTTTCAATGCTGATACTGATTGTGGTGGCCAGACCAAGAGATCATTAATGGCTGAAATGAACAGATCACCTTTCAGTTTTATACAGGCAAACAGCCTGGGTCTGGCTTGTTCACTGTGGTCTGTCCAGATCTGATGGAAAATAGAGAAACCCCCTATTTTAGTGACATTTTAGTGACAAATTTCAAAAGCCATTGACTGTCAGTAAAATTGTGTAATACAGAAAATTTGTCTTCAACCTCCTTCCTCTGGGCCCCACAATCACCTATTCCTCGTTTCTCGCCTCCCACAGCATTCCTCACTCAAAACCCTTTTTCCTAATTCACCCTCATATAGAACTGATATCAATTTAGAGAAATATTTTCATTTTTCTCAGAAATAAAAATCTTCACTATGCTAAAAGGATCATCTTTTAATGGTGGGAGTTCACCTTAGCTTAATATGTCAGAAAATACATTGATGGGATTTTCTGTCACTGTCACTGAACCCATATCATGAATGCTATTTTCAAATACAAGTATTTAGTGATTTCTTAAAACTTGTACTTTCAAACGAATGGTTTCTTTCTTATTTAGGAAGTTCTGGTAGGAAATTGTTCTGGTATTGCTTTTTTATTCTTTTCATTTTGATTTGCTGATTTTAAAAAAATTCTCCTTATTCTGTCACAGTGTTTTTTATTTATTGTAATTTGCAAAAACAAATTATAATAAGTAATGGAAAAGATCACTTTAAAAGCTTGTTTTGTAATTGAAAATGGTAAGCAAGTCCTCTTGTATGCTTGCCTAACATCAGTAGATGGCAGCACACACTCTCCTGTGAAGGGCAATGGATGTGCAGACGCCATTTTATTTAAATAGCAGTTCAGTTCAGAAGCTTATCAAAATGGTTGTCTTTTGGTAATCCTCATGAAAAGATTTATTTCCAGTTTTTTTTTTTCCCCCTGCTTACCATAGAAATAAAGGTTGAATAATTTACTGCCATGAAGCCAAATTAACTGAACTCCACCAATTGGAATGGGTCCTAATTCAGAAAGTGGCTTGGGCTGAAGCTTATTTGCTGTTTCTATAAGAAACGAGTTTGCTCTGCAACTTAATAGTAAAACTTTTTTAGAAGACTTTAAACTGCTTAATAAAATTATGGTTTCAAGTGACTTCAAAATCATCATTTCATTAAAATAAAAAAGCCCAGGCCCTTACTCATTAATAGCTAACTTGAATAAGAATGGCTCTCAGTTATATGGAAATCTGTTAGACAAGTTGAAAAACAAAATACCAACTTAGAAATTGCTAAATTGGTGGCATTCTATACATATAGCTCAAGTAAAATTATTCTCCAACCTTACCTTAAACTATGGAGCATTTACAAAAGGAAATAACTAATTGTATTTTATTTTAATTCAGCAAATATTTATTTAGTATTCAATATATTCTATACACAGCATTGTGTGAGGAGGCACTGAAGATACAGAGATGAATAAGACATGGCTCCTGTCCTTGAGACATGGTCTAAAAGGTGATATCAAATACCATGATATCAAATACCATGCACACACAAAGGAACCTGTGCAGATGGCTGCTTACTTCACAGAGTAATTCAGCACAAGTGTTACATTGTGACCAAGACCTTAAATGAACCAGGAAGAACTGTGGAATTCCTATGATGTATATAATGTACTTTTCTAGCCATGGATACAACAATGAATGAATGCCAGATGACTGTGGAACCCTTCAGTTCTAATTCTTACAACTCTAAGTTCCAAATAGATAGATATAGGCCTCTGAAGTATTAAGTACAGAGAGAGAGAAAGCAAGGGCAAGACAGAGAGAGAGAGAGAAGATACATTAGTAGCACAGAAAAAGGAAGTTGTTAATTATTCAAAGGAATCAGAAAAAAATCAGAAAAACCTTTCGAGAAGAGGCAACATCTAAGTTGTTTTTAAGAATAAATAGGAACTTGCCACAGAGAAAATATGGGAAGGACATTTCAGGCAGAGAATGCATCAAAGAAGACTTGAAGGTTTATGTCTGGGAACTCTGACTTATTCAGTGTTACTTAAATAAAGAATTGGCAGTGGATGGTGATACTGGAGTTGTAGGAGTAAGCAGGTGCTGATCATGAGCTACCATTAGTTTGTTATGCTCAGAGCATAAAGTTCTAGTGGGGAAGTGGTAAAATATGAGAAGAGAATGAAGCAGGAGCAAGATTAGGAACCTTGCATTGCCAAGGAGTTTTGGCTTTCGTATGTAGGTATTAGGGAGCTATAACCAGAGAATCACATCATCAGGTCTTCACTTACAGGATCCTGATAGAGATGTAGAGCCTTGACTAGAGAGGGCAGCAGCTAGAAACCAGAAGTCTAGTTAGGAGGCTATTGGAATAATCCAGGAAAAAGATGATGAGAGCCCCAACCAAAGCAGCAGTAATGAGGAAGGGACACATTAAAAAGGTGTCTAGGAGATATCTTGTCCACCAAGATATAGGCCCTTGGTGGACAACTGCATATGGAAAGTGAAAGTAAGAGACAAAGTAAGAGTCAATGACGATTCGCAGATTTCTGACTCAGGCTACTGAATAGATGGATTGGCATACTACTGACTGACATTGGAAATACAAAAGTAAAAGTATTATAACAACCCATATATTAGTGAAGTGTTATTTAACTTAATTGAAAAGTGTGCTTTCATTACAAAAACAGAAACAAAAACAAAACAAACAAAAAAACCCCAACAACTTGATGAGTAATCCATGAGTGAAATGTTTAACTAATTATTTTCCCCAAGGTATACTATCTACTGTTAGGTCTAAATTAAGTTATCTACTAGCCCAGAAAATAGACTGTTGTGTAAATTAGCATGAAGTATTTATTATCTGTGGCACATAACTGAGCACTTGAATACATATTTTCTCTTTCTTATTCATTTAATCAACAAACATTTGTTTAGTATCAGCCACTGTTCTAGGCTCCAAAGTTACAGGGATGAAAAGACAAAGTTCCTGCCCTCAAGAAGCAGCATGTAAATCTCAGTAGAAGGATCAGAGAAGCTGGATAATTTGAGATTTTATTGAAATGATAAATAAGAATTCATGGGTTAGATAGGAAAGGGAAAGGGGGAACACAAAGTGCAAAGACCTAAGCACTAGATAGTGATAGCATTACTAAGATATAAAGTAGTAAGGGTGGAGAAAAAGAATAATAATATAAAGCTAGACTGGTTAGATAGAAGCCAGGTGATGCTGAATGGTGAAGGGACTTCTCTGTCTAACTACAGAATTTGGATTTAATCCTGTAGTGGAAAGGAGCGTTTGAGGAATTATGAACAGTGGAGCAGAATCACTCTGATATAGGATTATTGTACATCTTAGTCTGTCCAGGACAGTCTCATTTTTTATGAATAATATGGTTCTCTTTTCCTAAGGCATGGAGTAAGAGGAACTAGAGAAAACAGAATCTCTAAGTAGGTTATGACTGGCACGATTATTTAGATAAGAGGTATTGAAGTCCTGAACAATAGGAATGGCCATGGGCATAGAGAAAAGAGTATGAATAAGAGTGACAACTAGAAGGTAGAAGCTAAGATCTTCTCTTGATTCGTTCACATGTGAAAATCTCGTCTTACCAACTGAACACTTCTTTGTACCATGTGTTAGTAAGATATAACTCAAAGGTAATAATACTGACATGTTTGCTTCCAAAAAGAAAGGAGGGCCAGAGGCATCCAAATAAATGATGCCCTTTAAAGTACGACCCTTGAAAAGCTGCACCCTTATTGCCATGATGGTTCTATAACCCCAAGTTTTTTCTAGACCTTTTCGAACACTGCATTGAAGAGTCAGTGCTACTTCTGTGGTATTTATTCTGAGTGATAGCAAGTATTCATCCTCTCAGTGATGGATTGGATTTTTTGAAATAGCAAAACTAATATTTTTAAAGAGCCAAACGTGATAAATTAATGGTTTCCTTATGTAGCTTATAAACTTACTAAGAAATGTTTGGAGCTATCTATAGAAACAGAAAGTAGATTAGTTGTTGCCTAGGTATGTTTTGGGAAGCTAAAGGAGGATGGGGAGTAACTGCTAACAGGTAACAGGTACAAGGTTTCTTTCTGGGATAATGAAAATATTCTAAAATTAGATCATGATGACATTTACACAACACAATAAATATGTTAAAAACATTCAATTGTACACTCTAGGTGGTTGAACTTTGTTATGTAAATCATATGTCAGTAAATCTGAGAACTAGCAGTGTCCTGGGTTCAGAAATAGTTTTAAAAACACATGGGTATCATTACTTTGTGATCAAACTTTGTTCTTCATTAGACTCATTTCCATCCCCACACCTTTAGCATTGTACTAGGTACATAGTAATTACTCTATAGATATTTGTCCAGTAGAATTAGATGTAATATAGTGCTTCAGTTCAATTCAGAGAAGATAGTGATTTTACTAAATTGTGTGGATAAGTTCTTAGACCTTTTTTTTAGCTATTATACCAATTTATGTACCCAGTATCAGTGAACAAGGGTTCCAATTGCTCTACATCATTGATAGCATTTGATATTGACAACCTTTTTAATTTTAGCCACTCTGATAGGCCTGTAGTATGAACTCATTCTGGTTTTAATGTGTATTTTCCGGAATACTGTGAGGCTGAGAACATTTTTGTATTTTACTAAACTTCAACTTTTGTTATAAAGGGTATACACATGCAGGTTTGTTACATGGGTAAATTGTGTGATGCTGAGGCTTAGAATTCTAATGATGCCTTCACCCAGGCAGTAAGCATAGTACTCAATAGGTATTTCTTCAGTCCTCCTCCCCATCCTCCCCTGTCTAGTGATCCCCAGTGTTTATTGTTCCTATCTTTACACTTGCATGTATTCAGTGTTTAACTCTCACTTATAAGTGACAACATGTAGTATTTGTTGTTTTTTTCTTTTTTTTCTTGCATTAGTTTGCTTAGGATTATGGCTTCTAGCTCCATCCCTGCCTTAGGTGTTTTTTTTTATCTCCTAATATATAATATCATGAGAACTTTTTATAGAATATAAGCAAAATGGGTTATATTACTACTTTAATTAATATAAAACTATTTGTTATTTTAATAAATAGAAAGTATCATTTCCATATAAATTATAGAAATCACATGGGAGTATTTGTCTAATGTTTTGTCACTGACTCTGCCATCTTAATTTTTATTATTAAATTTAAAAAACAGTCAATCAATTTCCATTTCTCTCTCTCTCTCTCTCTCCCCCCCCCTTCTCCCTCTCTCCTACACCTCCTCCTCTCTCCTTCTCTCCCCACCCTTCTCTTAGGAAGCATTGTGAGTGTTGGGGACCCAAAGAAAAAATACACAAGATTTGAAAAAATTGGTCAAGGGTAAGTGATTTTTATTTGAAATATAAAAAGATGTGTATGAGCAACATACATTAAAATTAAAATTCAGTAAGAGTTTGGGTTTCTGGTAAATTATGCTTCTTATTTCCTGGATTATATTTGTGTCTTGCATTCTTAGTGTTGACCTTTCAGCTGCAGGGCTGACTGTTCATTAACCTAAGAGCACATCCTGCTGAAATCTTCATTATTGGTGGGCTGACAGTGACTTCTGTGGGGACATTTCGATCCCATGTAGTTAAAAGATTCAAACAGATTTCTCTAGAAAAAGCAGTAGGGTTATGGAAATTTCTAGCTTACGTAAAAACCCCTTTTATCCCATTTCCCCCTTCAGCTACATGGATGGTATGATTAAGATCCTGTTTTATTATCAGAATGTAAAGTGACAAACTGAGGGTGGGGAATGTCCTTATGGAATGATCTGGAGGTAGGCAGAGTTGTCTGAGTGTGGAGGAAACAGACAATAATCCCTAAATGAGACCTAGTGCATCATTTTCACTTAGTATACTTGTTAAAGATAAAGATTCCCAGGCTCCACTGCCAAAGATTTGATTTAGAAGTCTGGAGTGGGTTTGAGTGATCTGAACTTTGCAAAAGTTCCTCAGATAATCCTGATAATCGCCAAGACATGGGAACCATTGCATTAAATTATTCACTAAAGCTGAAGGCAGAAGTCACCAGTTCTGCAAGTCAACTGTAATTATGCATGTCTCTCAGGCCTCAATGTGAAACTAGACAGGTGGGTCTGAGCAGGCAACAGCATATTTAACAGCACGAAGTTTTATTTAAAGGAAAGTGGAATCTTAAGGGACATCCTTAAATATATGTATGTATGATTTCTACTGTATGTCAGAAATCAAGAGGCACCTCAGACTTCTCCTGGCTGTCAAGGGGCTGAAGATAAAGAGTTACATCCATTATGCTTGCAAAATTGTGCTAGCCCATCAGCCATTAGAATCTAATTATTTAGGGTTAGAGAAGGTAGAATTTCTTTAAGAACATCACCGCTTTTCCTGGAGTACTTAGGTTTAAAAAAATATATGTCATATATAAGCTTGACTATTTTTCATAATTTTATATTTTATTTTTTTAATCCCCCTAGCTTTTGTACTAAAGTTTCTTTTGAAATTGCCGGTATATCTCAGGAAATAAGGGAAAGCATTCATTATACAATTGGGCTAGAGAGTAGGTGAGGCACTCGCGGAAATTGTGCCTGGTGAGAATCAAGATGAGAAGACTCTAAGGGAGAAAGAAACTCAGGAAGAAATGCATGGCCAAGTTTATTTTTCCAGTCAAAACCATAATGACATTGTATTTGAACTTTCCAGTAGGCTAAAATATGTACCTATTATTGCTTTTGCTTCTTTCTTTGTTATTTAATATCACTGGTATTCTCACTTGCTCACAAAAAATGAAGAATTTTGTGATCTCTAGAAACTCCCTGTCACCCAATGGGTCAAATTAATATTTCTACTCATTGTTCTATAACAGTGATAAGCAACAGAACTTACTGTGATGATAGATATGTTCTATATCTGTGCTGTCCAACATGGTAGCCGCTGACTACGTGTGGCTATAGGGCACTTGGGATGTGGCTAGTGCACATAAGAAACTGAATTTATATGAAATCATTTATTTGTTTAGCAGATATTTCTTGAACACCAACTATGTTACAGGCACTATGCTAAGTGCTAGAGAGACAGAGATGGGTAATGATGATGTAAGCCCTCAAGGAACTTACAGTCTACACTGGTAACTGCTTGACAGGAAAATACAGGGTACCAGAACAACCTTGAAGCAAGCTTACTCAATTCACCCAAGTGCAGAGCAGGGCTGGCTTCTACAGCCATTATCTCCCACTGGAAATTTTCCCTGTCTACCTCCGGTGGACTGTTTGTTTTGCTTAAGTAAGAAAGCTATACCTTCCCAAGTCCATATATAAACCTCAACTCTCCTTCTCCATGTGTAAAGGTTAAATATCACCAGGCAGGTTGCAAAAACACAGTGTTATGTACTAAGGGGACTCAGAAAACAAAAGTTGGCTTTTAGATTTTATTTTCATCTGGTTGAGTCTCTGGTAGAGCTAACAATAGGAGGGGAAGGGATGTTCAGTCCACTTAGAAGTAGCACTCCAAATCATTGTTGTCCGGTATGGTGGCCAGTAACCACATTCGGCCACTGAGCACTTGAAATGTGACTAGTCCAAATGGAGATGTACCATAAGTGTAAAATGCACACATGATTTCAAAACCTTAGCGTGAAAAAAGAATGTAAAATATTTAATTAATACATCTTTTATTGACTACATGTTGAGATATTTTGTCATACATTGAATTAAAGAAAATTATTATGAAAATTAACCTTTTAAAAATCTTTAAATATGTAGCTCTAAGAAATTTAAAATATGACTCATGGCTCATGTTATATTTCTAACAGGCAGTAATTTCTAGTTGTAGCCTTAAATTGGGAATTATTTGTTTATGAATTTGTAAAGTGGTTTTCTGTGGTTGCTTTTTGAAGAGTGGGAAATGTTATAATTTTGTTTTGATTGTTCCATCTAAAAGCCAACTGAGCCAAAAATAGCACTGAATTTTAAAAGGAAAAAAATACAAAATGGTGTTAGATATCTCCCAGGTACTAGGTAATGAAACAAGACTAATTTTGCCAAGAACAAAGATCAGGCCACCAAGCAACCTTGTGTAACAAAGAGATTTCCTCTCTTGGCTATTATTTATGCCTGTGACTTTTAAAGACGAAAGGAAAGTTTTCTATCTCTGAGTCTCTTTGTACAGCCTCCATAATCTAAAACGAAAATCAAAGCATAAATCCTGCTTACCACTGCTGAAAGTTCTATTTTAAATTCCCAGCAAGTTCATCATTCTAAAGAATGATAAAGTAGTGGATAGTTCACTCATAGGCCCAATATGGCTTTTTAATAAGTCCTTAGAGGGCAGAGAGTCTATTTTATTCCTACTTTTGTCTTCATTAGTGTTTTAGTACAGTGCTTGTGCACTTAGTAGGCCCTCTAAAACAATTTTGTACAGTTATGGCCAACAGCTGGGTTCACTTTGGCTGGCTACAAAGAACTGAAAAGTTGTCTGCCAAATCTATCTTTCTGGGTCTGTTTTTGCCTCAATAAATATTTGTTGAGCTAATGAAAATGTTTGTCTTTCCACCACATCTTCTTATTCATAAGTGAGCATTGAACAATGAGAACATATGGACATGGAGGGGAGCAACACACTCCCAGGAAGGGCCAGACGGGAGGTGGCAGGTGAGGAAAGTGAGAATATTAGGACAAATGGCTAATTGCATGCAGGGCTCAAAACCTAGATGACGAGTTGATAGATGCAGCAAACCACCATGGCACACATATACCTATGTAACAAACCTGCACATTCTTCACATGTAACCCAGAACTTAAAGTAAATTTTTTTTGAAAAAAAGAAAATGTTTGTCTTTCTAGCTGTCCCTTTCCTCTGTCCTGTGTATTTACATGTGGATATACATGTCTATCTTGCTCCTCCTGTGTCTGTCTTTCCCTGTTTTTCCTTAACATGTCTTTATATCTTTGCCTTTCACAATGACTTGCTCGGCTTCACCACATGTGATTCATTTATTCTCTGGGTATTTGTGTGTGCTGATGTCTGTCTTCTTCATGCATGTTGGCTTCACATTCTACTGCCCATTTTCACACACACCCCACAACCCAAATTGTCAGAATGANATTTGTGTGTGCTGATGTCTGTCTTCTTCATGCATGTTGGCTTCACATTCTACTGCCCATTTTCACACACACCCCACAACCCAAATTGTCAGAATTATTTAAGATATAATCTACTAGCTTAAATCTGTTTACTCTGATTTTATCATTTATTTAATTTACTAATTTTATTTTTTGATCTTAGCAGATTGTTTTCTCTCAGTTCTTAATTGTTAAGGTAAATAAGCAAAATATTCATTTCTTTCTTTCTGGACCAAAAACAAATAAACCCACATCCCACTTAATATTAACTTTCTTTTTACTTAAGTGGCTTACAGCTGATTTTTTCATGAATTACTGCCCTAAGTTATATAAACTAGTCTCTACTCTCAATATGTAGAGTTTTAAAATTAAATCTGTGTTTTTAATTGCTTTTGCCTTACCCATCATTATAGTGACATTCAAAATTTTTGTCAATAATCATTTGGTGTTAGGAATAATCAGCCCCAGTATTCTATTCTCAGCTCCAAAGAGCACAACAGTTCATTCATTTTCAGGAACTGGATTTGAGAAAAGCTTCTCCATTAATCACCCTGATTTACTTGGTAAACTAAATTTTTCTCCAGCATGGGTTTCTGCCATCCCAGCATTCAGGCCTGGGGCCAGAGAATTGGGCTCCATCTTCCATAAATCAAGTTCAGAATCACATGTCTAATCATTTGAGGCAATAGCTGTGAGTTGAAGGCTAAAAATGACATTGTTTCACTGGGTTTGCTGTGAAAAATCTTCTATAATTGGCCACCAAATCCAGACATTTTGAGCAAATTTATGCAAAGTTAAAAAAAAATAAGGAAAGAAAGAAAAAATGTCAGGTACCCCAAAAGTATCATTAACTCAACAACATGAGTTTGTCAGAAATATATCTGGTATGGACTTGAGAATCTTCACTTTCTAGAATACTTATATAAAATAAATTGTTTAATAAATGAGGTAGAGTGAGACAACAAAATCAAATATTTATTTTTAGTCAGTGGCTATCATTGGCAACCTGTGTAATTCCTGAATAAGCAATAGCTATGTAACAGAGGGCTGAATTTACTAACATTGGCAGCTGTCTTCACAGATTTCTCATTAATGTATTAGAATTCATGTTAGGAACTTTCCTTAAATGAGAATGCAGTGAAAAACAGGGCTTTTTTCTCTTTCAGGTTCATATTGTCTTTTCAACTTTATAGTAGAAAAATATTTTTGAGGAAGGAGCTCAGAGGATCCAGTTTAGCAA